TCTCCTACGGGTATCTTCTATAAGATCTCATCCATTTGCTTCCAAAAATCCCTCTTAGTCTGATCACCTAATCCTACTTGGGGGGCGTACGCACTAATAACGTTCACTATATTCCCTCCAATAACTAGTTTAACTAACAAGATCCTATCACCTTTCCTAATAACCGCCACTACATTTTTCACAAGACCGTTGGCAACTATTATTCCTACCCCATTCCTTTGTCTATCCTGGCCACTATAATACAATTTAAATCCGGTATCTTCAATTTTCCTACCTCAAAAGAAATTAAAGCATCAAAGACAACTCCAAACTCTTACGTAACTAGACATGGCCAACAATCATGAGTTACTCCAATCTCTCCTAGTTGGCAGCAATATCTTTAAGCATTTTCTTTAGCTCGCTAGTCTACATGACAGACTAAACCACCAAAACAATGTATGATGTTTCCTAGGCTTAAGAAGAAAAACAAATTTGATATGATAATACCTAGTGCATGTTGAGAATGATGTCTGATCTTCCGATAAATTCTCCCTTGATAAATATTTGTGGAAATGTGGGCCAGTTGCTGCAAGGATAGACCATGAGACTAATTGAAACATTTACAAATAAACTACATGCATTATCAACAACTTTGGACCAAATGGGTTGCTAGGTAATGATCAGTACATGGCTTAAACAGCAATTCCATTTGCAAATGTTTGGTTCTTGATATTAATTTGTACCACTAAAATATGACAACCGAGTGCACTTTTCACAAATAATCACAAAAACATCGTGGCTATTTGACATAAACAGCATCCTAAAAAATTCATTCAAGATTTGGCCATGTCTATCAAGCTAAGCTATCTTTTGAAAAAAATATTTCATATACCTGAATCTCAACCATTTGGGCTAAAATAGCCAATAAAACAAAACACCCAATCACATCTCTCTCTACTTTTTTATACGTCTTTTCATAAAAAGCCAAAAAACCAACTAAAATGGCCAATTCCCAATTGGGGCCTAAATATTAAAAGTTAAGATAGTAGGAAATGTGATCAATTAAAACTTGTCTGAAGAAGTGTTAACGGGCTTCTGAACATATGCTGTTGTGGCCATGTATTCTTAGCCACTGCTGGATATGGATCATTCAATTAAGTAATTTCTAAATCCACTTGAAATGAACGCTATTCAAATGCCGCATAAGGAAATTCTTTGAATTGTTGCCACAGTATGTTAAACTAAAATGGATATACACTCTGATTCCAATATCATGCTTCTTGAAAAAAAAAATCTGCCTCGATGCAATTTAGAAAACAAAACCAAATCAAAATAAAACAAGAACAAAAAACAAAACAAAAAATACATTGTTTCCAATAAGAGAATATTCAGTAACATCAGCTACTTCTAGTTCTATAGCACAAGGACAATTGCCAAAAAGCACTCTATCTATTCACTGGCTCGGTTTCTTAGCAAATCACCCCCCCCCAAAAAAAAGTTTGAATTAACAAAACATGTAGTCATACACCTTGAATGTAAACAAAACATGTAAACTAAGACCCCAACTTATTACAAACATTACCCAAACATCCCAATTATAAACAATAATGTTGTGGGTGGTATTTGTTGAGGTGGCCTACAGATGGCCTATTGGGAAGAACGCGGGTACTGAGATGTGAAGGTAATCACCAGTGAGGGAGGAGGTGAGAGATCAAGAAGCCTTAGAAGAGAGAAAGGAAGGCAGTGCAGAGGTCTTGCTGCATACCAGAGATGGTTGATAATCGTAGTAATGCTTCAATGTCTGCATAGAGGCCTCCTTATATAGGATGGTCAAACCATGGAGGCCAGCTCACTCTTGGAGAGGTAGTTGACCCTCCTTGCTTCAACAAGAATGAGGTATCCCAACCACCTCTACATCCTAAGATCAAATCTTGGGATTTGTATCATAAGAACAACAATGTAGGCATCACAGGGGGCTTCAGTGTTGCATATGATACAATTTCCAAAATATCATGTCTTGATTAGAGCACCTATCTCTCTAAGAATGATCAAGGTGCAAACGCCCTCGGGGTAGGGGGATGGAAAGGCACCAAAATGAATCCCTAACTCTAGCCTCTAAGCCACATACCTCCAGTGATGGCCCGAGCAAGGATTCCAAGGCCTAACACCAAACCTAGGTCATCAAGGTATTGAATGATGGTGTCAGAGATGTCTTGATCAGTAGGAGACAGCTTTACGGAGAAAGAGGAGACGAGACATAGTAGGGTCACGATCTGGGAGAGGACCCCTCAGCCAAGCCAAATGGGATACAGAGCCATGTTGCTACCGAGCACAGTTAGTCGAGCAAGGATGCCTCGAAACCTCAACACAATTATGTGGTGCTCTGGCCACGCCTCGGGATGCCCTATGTTGGTTTATCTTGCGGTGCCATGGCTAAAAGCTAAGGCATTGAGCATGTTAACTAGCCAAAATAACATACTTGGTGGTTTCTATACCCCTGCTTAGGCTAGACTCACAACCCCAATAGCTTATTTTGGAAGATGACACGCACTAGTATGGGTTACCACTTGACAATCCCTTGTCTGAGTTGGAGATGATATGGTGCCAGTAAGGCCAACCACAAGGTGAAGGGCATTATTCAGGTACAACAAATGGCAATTATCACTGTACTTTGAGTACATGTTGTGTTACTATGAAGTGCCAATGGGAGGGTGCCTTATATATGAGCAGGAGGCTCTTAATGCTCTGTAGATGTATAACAATGCTAAATGAATGTTCTAAACAGTATAATACCAAGCACCGAGTTACCTGTATGCTTTGACAGCATTCTTAAGCTCAGGATCTTTCAATATGTTTCTAGCACTCAAAGGAACATCTACAAAAGGCATATCAATGGTAAGAATGCCATAATAGCCTAAAGCAGTCAAGTCAGTAAAGTGGAAGGTCAGATCAAAGTTCAACAAACAGGATGCCCAAATGTAACCCCAGCTATCACATATAACTCAAGTCAGCTACTCATTTAATGCTTCTATTGTGTCACCTTCTTGTACTTCCCTATTCAAACTAAGCAAACTAAATGGTCATCTATAACTATATAGCCTCGCACATTTATTCAACTGCAAGTATAATGCACTTCAATTTTCAATTTCCAGACGTGACTAAACCAAATACTCACCATGGATGACATAAACAAGGGTAAATCATCCAAGCTCATTTAAAAGATACTGTTGTTGAACTGAACCAGGGAATGGAATGTACAAAAGTAGTCGTAAAACTAAGAAAGAGAACACTTACTATATTCCTTCAACACTCTTACTGCTAGTGAGCTGAATCCACATCAGGGAAGATCAGGCACCCCTTTCATGTAAAGCATCACCGGGTTGTCCTTGACATCCTACGCTAAAGCTAAAAGCAATCAATAAAAACAGACTCATAACAAATAAACAGCTAAATTTTTTTGCTTGATAATTAAAAGAGAAAATACTTGAGGCTCAGTATCTCTAATACAGAAGGTACATATGACTACTATTTACCTGCTCTACAATATCCTTCAAAGAAAGGCCAGAACTCTCGAGCTTATTAGTGGGTCTGAACTCTAAAGTCCTTGTGTATGTCAGGATCATTTGGCATGGTAGCTGAGTATTGCATCTCATGGTGGTTAAAGGATCCAGCTGCCTACCAACAATTAAAGAAAAAATATTAGCAAGTATCATTTATATGACCATCAAAAATTATTTTCTCTAAAGATAAAACCACACACTGGTGGCTTAAAATTTCAAGAAAACCCTTTTTTTTGGTCTTCTGAGTAGAGTTTAACAATTTTATGATTAAGGATCCGAGAAATCTAGAGTCAGATGGCTATGAACATATCAAGATCCTAAGTAGTTTCTTCGATTGTAAGTCCTTTGAAAAATAAGAGAAACATGAATAAAAAATAAACAATTCAAACCTATGAAGCACGGACACTCCAAAATCGGTGCCGTGGCAGTGTCTGACACACGGACACGCCGGGGACACGTCGGGGACACATACGGGACACGCCAGGTGGCGTGTCCCTTTAATTTAATGAATTTTTTGTAGGGGACATGGCGGGGACACGCGTGTCCATATCGGGACACGGCATGGGATACGATGGGACTCATTTTTAATTTTGTTATATTTATTTGGGGTCAAAGTGTAATATTTAAAAAGAAAAAAAAAACAATGATGTAATGCCCTAACACCGACTCCATCACCTCCATCCAGTTGAGAATGAGTGAAAGGGAGAACCAGTCGATCCACTACCTCCATCCAGTTGATCGAAGACCTCTTTGTTTTTTATTTTTTATTTTTTTATACGTTTATATATATGTAAGGCTGTTTCTATTTTTTTGTAATCATATGTTTATATATATGTATATATATATATATATCTCTAAAACTGTATTTTTTTAAAAAAATTATAGGTTTATATATATATACACAATATGTAAAAATTTCTTCTTCTTCTTCTTTTTCTTTTTTTTTTCTTTCTAATGTTAATGTTAATTTATAATGGTTATAATTTATAGGAAAAATATCTAATTCAAATTCTGCTAATAACATACCATCTGCCTTTGATGTTGAAGATGATAAGCCACTGTGGAAATATGTGACTAGATTAGAAAATCTGGTGCGGGAGGGGGAAACTATACTTTTTAATGTAACTTTTGTTGGACTACATGTAAAGGTTCATATACTAGGGCAAAAACCCATTTGATGCAAATTAAAAATCAAGGGATAGAAGTGTGTCCAAAAGTAACAAGGATAAAGCTGAATTTGAGAGAGTAATTGCAGAAGTAGAGTTGAAATTGAAAAACTCTAGGTTGAAGAAAGTCCCATTGTCTCCTCCTAGTTCAAGTGCATCATTAGGTTTATGTTTCAATGAACCAAAGGAAATCTATGGATCAAAAAAGAAGAGGTCAACTGCTATAGGGAGTGGAAGTAGTAACCCTGTTATGCAAGCATTTAACATTGGGGCTCGAGAACGATTAAATGGTGAGATGGCTAGAATGTTTTATTCAGTAGGCTTGCCATTTCAATTGACAAGAAATCCTTACTATGTTAGTGCATTTACTTTTGTTGCAAATAACAACATACAAGGATATGTACCGCCTGGGTATAACATGTTGAGAACTACATTGCTTCAAAAAGAAAGGATAAACATTGATAGGTTGTTAGACCCTATTCGAGGCACATGGAGAGAGAAGGGTGTGAGTATAGCCAGTGATGGATGGAGTGATTCCCAACAAAGGCCATTAATAAATTTTATGGGTGTTACCGGAGGTGGGCCTATGTTTCTTAAAGCAGCTGATTATTCAGGAGAAACAAAGGACAAGTATTTTATTTCCAACTTGATGAAGGAAGTAATCATGGAGATTGGGCCTAAAAACGTGGTTCAAGTCATTACAGATAATGCCCCAAATTGCAAGGTTGCGGGGCACCTAATTGAAGCGCAATTTCCTCACATCTTTTGGACTCCTTGTGTTGTGTACACCCTCAATCTTGCCTTGAAGAATATTTGTGCTGCCAAGAATGTGACAAATAATTCAGTTGCATTTAAAGAGTGTAATTGGATTAGTGAGATTGTGGGTGATGTGATGATGATCAAAAATTTTATTTGTAATCATTCCATGAGGGTGGCAATGTACAATGAGTTTGTGAGTTTGAAGCTTCTTTCAATTGCCGAGACACGCTTTGCTTCTTCCATTGTCATGCTTAAGAGGGTCAAGTTGATAAAGCAAGGTATCCAAACAATGGTAATCAATGACATCTGCACCCACTCTTCAATCTGTGGCTTTAAGGGTACTTGTGCAACCTTCTTCTTCGTCATGTGCTGAGAGGAATTGGAGTATATACTCTTTTATCCATTCAATGAGAAGAAACAAGATGACGCCCCAACGTGCAGAGGACTTGATTTTTGTTCATAGCAATCTCCATCTTTTATCAAGGAGAACCCCACAATACCTTGAAGGAGAGACCAAGTTATGGGATATTGCGGGCGACACATTTGATTCATTTGATGATGTTGGGATGCTTGAGGTTGCAAATCTCTCACTTGATGAACTTGAGATAGAGGTTGTGTTGTTTACAGATGATGGAGGTGCAAACGAAGAAAAAGATGGTGATGCTAATGATAATGAAGACGTGCAAGAAATTGGATCTACATCTACTTGAAGCTAGAATTAATGTTACTATGCTAGTGTTTGTTAATTTTGATTTAGGATGAATGTAATATGAATCTACATAACACATAAAAATATGTAATAAAAAAAATTTCGCTGTGTCCCCCACCTTGTCCGTGTCTCCATTTTTTTGGAAATTGCTGTATCTCGTGTCCGTGTCCGTACTTCATAAGTTCAAACAAAAGGAATCCTTTGGTTTTGAAGCAAATAGAGAAACAACCAAGTGCCAAAAAAAAAAACTGTAAAACCAAAAAATAAAAAATTTGAAGGCATAGGAGGGAATGGAGGAGAACTGAATTAAGAAGAAAATGGACCATTAGTAGAATAATGGAGTCTCTTAACATTTCAAGACAGATTGTACCTGAGTTATGGGTAAAGAGAACATTAGTGTCTTTCAGTGTTTCAAGGAACAAAAAAACACACACACACTACAAGTAAAAGAAGATTATATGCTACATGTGGGATTAAGAAGATTATATGAACACTATGTATATACCCTATATATATGATGGATTTTATAAAATAAAAAAATTTAAAAAAAAATAATGTGTTAGGGCTCACCCTGATCACCACCTCCCTCTGCCCTTGCTGGGAACCCTTCCAATTGAGTTTCAATGGACCATTGGCGCTCTTTAATATCTCTCTCACACCAAACCAAATGTCTTCTTTTCAGTAGATCAGGTCTCCCAATTTGTACATAGCCCAACTGATCTTCAATGGACAATGGTCAACAACATATTTTATGCTATCTAAAATTATCCAATGAATTAGATTTATTTCTTAGCCATTTCAACTCTCTTTCTCCGTAATGTTTCCCCGATGGCTATTGGGCTGGGTGCCTAGATGACCGCTACTCAACCCATCATTCTCAGTCCCAAGTTTTCTCTCTCATGCCTTCAAAAAGCAAAATATTGTCGCTCAATCAAGTATTGAAACTAAATATTGGGGCCTCGGAAATGCTTATGCTATATTAGTGTGGACGGTGGATACAAAACCCACTAAGCTTTGTGGGTGTGTGTTACATATAAGAATCCATAACATTATATTACTTTATTTGTTAGGCATATTCTTTATCAAACAATTTGTAATTCAAATATTGTGTTGTAGAGTAGAGTCTACAATATCATATCATATTGTCGTAGCTATGCCAGATTTCCAGGAAATTATCCTTCAGTTTCTTTCTTTTAATAACATATGTAGGAACATTGCCACTGTGTTTGGTTGGGAGATTTGGAAAAAAAAGGTAAGTGAAATATAAATAAAATATTCTCTTTCACTTTTTAAATCTCTTCCCAAATTCCTGATCAAACACAGGCTGAATGTTTATATTAGAATCAGCTAATCGCAGTATCTCTAGATCAAATCAATCATTTAAACCAAATTGACTACCGTAAAAGCAATTAACACTTAACAGCAACAAAAATAAATAAATAAATAAACTTTAAACAAAGCCCTAACTAACCTTTGTACCGTAATTGGAAGTGACGGAGCAAGAAAGGGATATGGTGGATGGCCGGAAAGGCGACCGTGGGGTAGAAGAGATGTTGGCGGCGACGGCAAAGCGGTGGAGCTGTGTACAGAGTCTTCTCCACATGGCTTTTGCTTTGGTTTTGGAGTATGGAGTATTTGGTTTTGGGGTTTCGTAGATCATAAACCTCTCTCTCACTGTCTATCTGTCTGGGTTCTGCTGAAGTAGGTATTGTGTCGACTCGCCCCGCCCGTGTGAAATGAGTATTTACGGTGTCCTGGTCACGCCTCGCCCTCTTGCCCGTCCAGTATCGAGTATTGGACTTTTTTTGGGCAGTGAAATATATATATTTTTTAAATATGTGGAAACACTATATTTAATTTTTTAATCATAATTAAAAAAATAAATTCATAACTAAACATAATATGCTATATAATTAAAAAATTTATCAATTATAACTAAAATAACATCATAATTAAAAAAAATAATCATAATAAAAAAAATGACATGATTAAAAATGTATATGGTGCACATTTTTTAAAAGTGTGTAGATTAGAATTTCCCTAAAAATATATTAAAGTTTGGGTTGTAACTTAATAAATTAAATTTATAATTTCAACTTAAACTTCTAAATTTAAATTAACATTAATTTCAACCTTCCACTCATTTCCATTTTAAATAATATTAATTTTCACCTTCCACCCATTTCCATTTTCCGTTTTCTAATTGAATTTAATAAATTTTTTAACATATATGTAATACCTTCACATTTGCTTTAATAAATTTAATATTAAATTTTTGGGTTTGCTTATTTTTTGAATTTTTTTTTAACTTATTTTTGTCTTTAGTAAACTTTTTTTGAAAAAAAAAATTAAAAAAATTTAAACTTCTAAATTTAGTTCGACAAGAAGAATCAAAAAATTAAAAAAAAAAGGTCCAAAAAAAAGAGTAAAAAATAGTGATTTTTTTGGGTTTATTTTGGCTTTTTCAATTTTTTTTTGGAATTTTTTAAAAACATATATATACTTTTCATATTCATTTTGACAAAACGGACCAGGAAAAAAATAAAAAATTGACATAATTTAAAAAAAAATGAAAGACAAAAAAAATTTGAAAAAAAAAAAAAGAAGACTTTTAAGCAAGTTACCAAAAGGAAAATTTAGGCTGTGTTTGGTGAAACTCACAAATCATAATTTCACCCCTCCATTTGCATCCTCCGTTTGGATACAGTTTTCAAAAATCATTTCCACACCCGTGTTTGAAAACTTGTCTACCCGGTCATCCCCCTGGTCCGTCCGGCCAGTTGACTGGAATAATGTTTGGTCTTTTTTTTATATATATTTTAAATTAAAAAAATATTTTTGAATTTTTTTTAAAATTTTTTTATGAGCTTTGAATAGATTTTTGAGTTGTTTTTTTGGTTATAAGTTGTAAATTTTTAAATCAAATATCATATGTCACATCATTCATTTCACACTCAATTCAAATTTTTTTCAAAACTTATAACCTAACAAATTTTTCATACTCAAATCATAATTCCAAAACTCATAAATTCAAAATACAACTTTATTATCAAATCATAATTCTAAAACTCTAACAAAGACTATCTTAAACTTGATCACACAATATTATCATTACTATTTATTAACTATCCATTAACCCAGAGTCATCTAATATGATCAACTATGAACTTAGAGCACAAAACCCACTGCTCTTCCTCTCCACTGTGCTTTCATTTCCCAACAACTGTCTTTACCTTTCATTTCCCTTCAACTATCTTTACCTTTACGCTGTATTTGATTAGAAAATTCGAGAAGTGATTTGAAAAGAGAAAGAGAAAAAGAAAATGTAGGCAATATGTGACTAAAATATATCTATATTTCACCTAATTTTACACACCTTTTTCATTTTCTCTTTTAAATTCCTTCCCAAATCCCCCAATTAAACGCAGCATTATACTTCTACTTTTATTCCCCTTTCATGCTACCTACACCCTTCATTTTGCCAATCATGTTATCACTTCCCCGTCCATTTCATTTCCCCTTTCCCACCATAACCTCCTTCCACCCTATATAGGCATTAGATTCAATAAAAAATCTTATTTGGTGATAAGAATATTTATTTGTCAAAAGTCTATTCAAACCTATCTGTTGAAATTTTAATAAATAAATTATCTGTTGAAAAAATCTATCTGTTAAAATATGTCTTAATTCCTATCTATCTATCAAAATTATTTTAATATTTTTAATTTATCTGTTCAAATTCACCAAGCCTATTTTTCCTATCTATTGAAATTCACCAAGTCATTTTTTTTTCTATCAGTTAAAATTCACAAAGCCTATTTTTTCAAAAAATCTCTTAGTCTCGTTTCTCTTTCATTACCATCACCACCATTATAAATGAGATCGAAAAAAATTTCAAAAAAAACCCAAAATAAAATAGAGTTTCTATATACAAACCCATGGCAATCTCATACCTTTGGCCTTATTTCTAACAATGCAAATGGGGTCGTTCTTTGAAGCACAGAGTTTGACAAGCTCATGAAAAGCATAATTCCACGAAGAAGAAGATGACAATGGCGAATTCAAAGAAGAAGAAGAGAGCATCGATCTACTGATGCTAGCCTTAAAGTCTGCCACTTCACATGAATCAAGAGATGCTTAGAGATCCTTCACAGCCAGTAGCCTCCAATGAAGGGTGGTGGCGGCGACGGCAATAGTGACTCATTGATCCCTCTACTGAAACTCTCGACCGTCGGAGCAAGGATGGACTACCACGACTTTGTCAACAGCAACACCCTCATTGGGAAACACCAAATGGGCATGGTCTCCTCTAAGATCTCCTCCGACACACACTAGATCTCCCTCAATGGTGTCGCCCTCCTCACCTGCACTAATATAGCGATCCCGGGTTTACCCTTGTTATACCGTGGTCCGGACATGTGTCCGTGGTTGTTAGTTGTTGTTTATTATCTCGTTTGCATCCTCTTTACTTCATATTTGAGTTATAGGATGTGTTGGGCGGGTTTGTTACAGGTTGGTTGAGTTTAGAAACCAAAACTAGTTGCCCAGATTTTGGCCTGTACGCTCGAGCGGGGGTTTTGGCGCTCGAGCGGAGATTACACCCATTCAGTATTTTCCTGTGCAGCATTGTACGCTCGAGCGTGGTATTGGCCGCTCGAGCGGGG